GGGTTCCAGGGCTCACTGGCCCGTGAGTCCGGTCAGGTTAGGGTCTTTATCTCAAAAGGTAAGGTGAAGGAGAGACTGAGGAAAGGTATGCCTGGCCTCCACGTGCGTCAGGGTACTCAACCTGTGTCTGAGGTGCACGGTTTAGCTCAGTGCTACAATGGACTAGAATAAAGCTCTAAATAAAAAAACATCCCCCAGAAACCTCTCAATGAAGGTAGGAATGGATGATGATGTATCCACAGGAAAGTTCCAGTAAGTGAGAGGACACCTGAGCACGAAAAAGGCAAAAGCCTGCAGTGGCCAAAGCCAAACACGCAGCGCCTCATCTCACAGCAAACTGTTCAAGGGACGGACCTTGAACTCGGGCTGGCAAGTGGGTCCTCCTGGGCCCTACCCTTAGAGGCTGTGCAGTCTGGTCGTGTTAAGTGACGGGGAATTGTGTGTGGCCCTTGCCCAGGGGGCTGAGGCCCGCAGCACATGCATGGGGTCATCACGGCGCATGCCACTGTGTAGAGAAGACCCGTGGTCTCAATGTGCACATAGTGTGGGTGCAGAAGTTGAGTTGGTGACACTCTGACCCCTGAGCCCTGTTTCAGCTCATGCTTGGGGAGTACAGTCATCTCATGCAGACGAGGTTCACTCAAAATGACTGACTGGAGTTCCCCCTCTCCAGCAGGGAGAGAGGAGAGTTTGAGGGAGGTTTAAATCTGGGGTACCAAGGAAAACAGGCCAAGGTGACGGGTACTGAAAATGATGAGCCATGTTCTACATTTGCTCAAAAGGAATGAAAAGGCAGAGATAGCAGGCATGAACTTTTTTTTACAATTTTTATAATATTTATTTATTTTTGTTTTGTTTTGTGTATGTGGTGGTCAGAGGACTATTTTTTGTTTGTTTGTCTGTTTTTTGTTTTTTTTTCAATACAGGGTTTCTCTGTGTAGTTTTGGTGCCTGTGGTGGATCTCGTGCTGTAGACCAGGCTGGCCTCGAACTCACAGAGATCCGCCTGGCTCTACTGGGATTAAAGGTGTGTGCCACCACCGCCTAGCCATTTGTTTTTATTTTATCATTTCTGTTATATTTTGAGACAGGGTCTCGCTGTGTAGCCCTGGTTGGCTTGTGTAGACTAGTTTGTCCTCAACTCACAGAGATTCTCCTGCCTCTGTCTCCTGATTTCTGCGGATTAAAAACATGTACCACCATGCCTGGCATAGAATAACTTGTGAGACTTAGTTTTCTCCAACCATGGAGGTCCCAAGGATCAAACTCAGGTCCTCAGGCTTGGTGGCAAGTGCCTTTACCCACTGAACCATTTCACCGGCCCACAGATTTCTTGAAGTAGGTTATATAACCAATAGAGAACCACAAAATTGTTTCCAGAAAGCTACAGTTACATCTGGGCAGGTACAGGTACATGTGGAGCTGGGGTATAGGGAGCATGCGGGAGATTCTAACAATAAACATAAAGCTGCAAGACCAACATGCTGGGCAGACCTCACCTGTGGAGCCCCACCACACCCTCTGAGCATGACACTAGATCTTACACACAGGATCAGCTTTCTCTGCTGCCGTCTCTTGTTAGGACCAAGGGTCTTTCTGCCTGCCCACAGTCCACCAGATCTGATCACCCTGGTCTCCAGTAGTAGCCTCCCAGTAAAAGGTAAAGTGGGAAGAACCTCTCAACTCAGGTCAGGACACAGAAACAGAGACAGGAAGAAGCCCTGTATGGACCCTGGAAGCCTTGCTTTAGGAGAGCAAGTCCCATTTCCTGTTTTATCAACCCTTTACCGCCACCGACGTGTGGCTCTGTGGATTCCCTGGACCAAGGGCAGCCACAGTTCTGAGGAGGAAGAGCGGGCTGTGCCAGTTGTCAGTTGAGGGGCTTTGCCAAATCTACCGGGGGATTGGTTTCCTTCTGGCCACCTGGCTCTTTCTCCTCCAGCCGCAGTGACGCGGCAGCTGGTGGCCACAGACCACGCACCCACTCCCACCCTTGGGTAATCCTGGCCACCTCCCCATTAGCATCCCCAACTGCAATTTAAATCACCAGGACACATCTCAACATAATGGCTTTAATAGCATCTGCAACCCAAACCACAGCTGGATGGAGGAGGATTTCTTGCATTTTTGTTTTCCCCAGAATTTAACTCGTTACTGCTTGTGCTTGTGCTCCAACTGTACAGCCAGGAATTCCTCTCCAAATACGAAACATGTGTTTCACCTTGAAAAGACCGCTTCATGTAAAGCTAGGCTGCACCCCCTGACCAGTACAGAGTCCCCACCTCAGACCCAGGCTGGCACCACAGACCCTCAGCACCACTGATCTCAGTGTCCCAACACTAAGACCTCCGAGACACATAGTATCCAGTGTTGCCAACATGGACCATTCCAGGACCTCTAGGTACTGCCACAGACAGGTGCTGTGGAGCCCTACGCCATTCTTGGCCTGGGCTATGTTCATCCTGACATCTTCCACTCTGGCCCTCAACTTTAGGATGAAGGCTGACAGATTTTTTTTTTTTTTTTTTGGTTTTTCGAGACAAGGTTTCTCAATATAGTTTTGGTGCCTATCTTGGATCTCGCTCTGTAGACCAGGCTGGCCTCCAACTCACAGAGATCCACCTGCCTCTGCCTCCCAAGTGCTGGGATTAAAGGCATGTGCCACCGCCGCCTAGTGGCTGACAGAGATTTGATGCTCACAAACAGGAGGCACCTCTCAGACTACATGACCATCATTGCAATTAACAAGTAAAATTCTGCCTAAACACAACTGCAGGTTCAGACATTATTATAAAGGTAGGCATAAGGCACCTCATATTCAGCCCCCTGAGACCAATGTACTCTTGTCCAAACTCTCAGGATGGTGCTCAGAGGAAACTGGGAGATGTGGGCCTTTGATACACTAGGCTTCCTCAAAATCCCATACAAGTAAGACCACACTCTGAAGTCTTGAAGACAATGTGACTAGTGACCTGCAGAAGATGCTTGTCACACCTGGCAGTGTGCCTGGGTCGTGCTTAAACATAATCACTGAACCATGAAGAAAAAGGAACAGGGGTCTATGTTTAAAGAATCTCATAGAAAGGATGAATTTCCCCCCCAAAGATGAAACTGCTGAGATCAAAGAAGTTTGTGTCTATGCAGCCACATAAACTGAGAACTCATTTTTTTTTTTTTTTTTTTTTTTGGTTTTTTCGAGACAGGGTTTCTCTGTGTAGCTTTGCGCCTTTCCTAGAACTCACTTGGTAGCCCAGGCTGGCCTCGAACTCACAGAGATCCGCCTGGCTCTGCCTCCCGAGTGCTGGGATTAAAGGCGTGCACCACCAACGCCCGGCTTGAGAACTCATTTTTAAAAAACAGGTTTACTGAATGACTGTTCACATCCACCTCCCCACAGTGCTCTGCTTGAGGCATGCCTCCCCACCCCAGACAGAACTCTGTATTTACCAGCAACTCCCACAGATGAGGGGCAGAGCAGTTACCATCTCTGAATGTGGCTGCAGGTCCTGGTTAGAACAGACAGGCCTCATGGCAGGTCCGGGGCAACATGAACACTGACTTGGCATCTTAATTTTTAAATTAAATTTGTTTTTTAAAAAGATTTATCTAGTTTTACTTTATGTGTATGACTCTTTTGTCTGTCTGTCTGTATGTGCACTATGTGAATGCAGTACCCACGGAGACCAGAAGAAGACATCCTGGATGGTCGTGAGCCACCCCGGATGGTCGTGAGCCACCCATGCTGGAAACCACGCCCAGGCCTCTGTCTCTTCAGCTCCACTTTCATTTTCTAAATTAGGAATAGGATTACACTGACTCAGGCATGCGTGCATTATGTATGCATGTACGTATGTATGCATGTACACACACAGGCAACTCATGATCCTACTGCCTCATCCTCATCCTCCTGACTTATTAACAGCTCTTTTCTAGCTGTTGCTTTTTAGGGAGCCTCTCTCTTCCATCAGGCTGGCCTTGAACCTATGGCAGTCTTGCCTCAGCTTCAGGGTGCTGTGACTGCAGAGAAAAGCCGTCACATCCTACAAGAACTCTGATCTTCTAAGGACAGAGACTGAACTATCTGAAAGTAAAACAACATGCTGACGGGCTCCTTCAAAGCCCAGAGGAAAGGGCAGGCACACTATGCAGGGACACTACGAAGTGCTAAACGTCAAGTGTTTGGGCGGAGCGTTTAAATTCCAACTTTCTGAGGAAAAGTGGAGAACTTCTTTCAGAATCTAATGTTGAACATGAGAGATCTGAGCAAGCTAATTTACTCTTAACTGTACATACATGGCTGTCGAGGAGAACATGTGTTCATGAACGGCACACACAGCATACAGTTCCCACATACCATACAACACATGTACACAGAGCACATGCGCACTGCACAATCACATGTAAGTAGGCAGAGCATACACATACTGTGCAGAACAGGGATAGCACTATGTAGCACATACACATACAGTCTACATACATGCACACATACATACACAATGGATGGAGGTGGCCACCAAGGCAATTGTATGTGCAGATGGTGTGCACACTGTGAGTTTGTATGCCATGAAACTAGAGAGTTGGGATAGGCAGCTGCATTCCTGTCCTCTCTCCAACCAAAAACACAGCAAAGCCTGGGACCAAGAAGCTCCTGTAGAGCAGTGGTCCTCAACCTTCCTAATGTTGTGACCCTTTAATACAGTCCTCATGCTGTGGTGACCCCCACCAGAACATGATTTTCATTGCTACTTCACAACTGTGATTTTGCTACTGTTATGGATTGTAATGTGAATATCTATGTTTTCCAATGGTCTTAGGCGACCCCTGTGAGAGGGTCGTTCAATCCCCCCAAAGGGGTTGAGACCCACAGGTTGAGAACCACTGTTTCAGTGAAAGGCATACATAATCCAACAAGGGCCTGTCTTCAGGCAGGAGAGGGATGAGGCACAGGTAGTGAGGGCAGAGACGCTTAAGTGGCCCACTGAGGCAGTGGGGACCCTCTACCTGTGTCAGCTCCTGGGCTTCCCCCTCAGAGAGTAGTGGCCAGTTCCTCTGTAGCTGCAGCTGCTCGCCTTCCTGGCCTCCAGTGGGCAGCTCGCGGTGTGTAGTGCAGCCCATCAGTCTGGATGCTGGAACGGAAAGCTGAGGTCAGTGGTGAAAACTTTCGGAAGGCGCAAACCACACACAAGCATTCAGCAGCTCACAGAGGGGCATTTAAGACTGCCACAGGCTTTGGCCTGAGAAGCACGTCCGAGTGTCCATATGGGCATGTATGGGCCTTGGTGCCTGGGCCTCTACTGAGTTGAATGCCCCACATCAAGGTGAGTTTTCAATACTGTAAACACCCAGGGCTAATTCTGTAAGTATCTCTGGAGAGAAGGGCCTTTAATCCATAAATGTTCAATTTTTAAAGATGTGGCATATAAAACACAAGAACTGCTGAACCCTGGCGGAACATACATATAACACATCACCAGGAAATGTGGGGACAGTTGAGCTATTCCACAGAACACTGCGGTTCCAGAGAGAACAGGAAATGGCCAGCTACTGGAGCCAAGTGGAGCTACATGCACAAGCCTGCCCTGCTCCAGCCCTAGTGAGTCAGAGCCACCCGTCCTGTGGTCAGCGAGGGCTCAGCTCAGTGGGGCAGCTCCACAGCTCGCACAGATCAACACACACCTGTGTGCTGGGTAATCTCTGCACCCAAGATGGGACAGCTGGCAGGAACGGTGTAACCGGTGAAGTGCGGCGTGGCTCCTGGCGGCTGCCATGGGTCACCTGTTCTTTCTTTAGAGAGCAACTCCGGCCACAAACCCAGAGCTTCCGAGGCCAGATAAGGTCTGAAATTGAAGTCTGATCTCTGCTCTTCCCTACAACAGGGGGCACCATGGATACAGAGCATTTTCTAGGCCGGGAGGAAACAGGAAGAGCGTGGAGTGTGACAAACAGTGGCGTTTACACATCTCTTAGCTAGACAAGGTGGAGCGGCCTGGAGCTCACTGCTACACACCAGAAAAGGAGAGGGAAGGAGACACACCCAGGGGAGCGCTCCCTGGGCTCATCAGTCACTGAGACATGCCTGTCTTCCCCAGGAAAGAGACCAGGTGCTTCCAGCCCAGCACAAAGCTCCCTTTGCTCTGTTATCTCTTCCAACTGTCTGAAAGGCAACCCTCCTGAAAGAGGCGAGAGTAGCCGGGCGGTGGTGGCGCACGCCTTTAATCCCAGCACTCGGGAGGCAGAGGCAGGAGGACCTCTGTGAGTTCGAGGCCAGCCTGGTCTACAGAGTGAGATCCAGGACAGGCACCAAAACTACACACAGAAACCCTGTCTCGGAAAACAAAACAAACAAACAAAAAAGAGGCAGGAGCAGCTAAGAACTGGCCACACACCCTCAGGAGGAAGGCAGGCAGGGTGAGGACAGGCCCACAGGATTGGTAGATGAAGAGAGGTGAACACTCTTCAGCTCATACACTCTGCATGCTTTAGTGTGGAAACCCAATCTACCAAGTAGCAGAGTTAGGACCCATCACTGGGACAGTAGTTTTCCTACTACACTCTAAAAGAACAACCACAAAACAAACAAAACTGATTACAAATGTGTGTTTGCCGCGTGCTAACGTGGGGGTGGTAGCTAAGAGCCCCCCCCCACCCCCAGCTCCCGGGGCTCACTGCTGAGCTCCTCTGTCTGTGGGAGTTAGCTGGTATGGCACTGCTTTACAGCGAGTGGACACAGTTCGCTGGGCTGGAAGCTGGGAAGTGCAGAAAAGGCGTGTGAGCAATCATCAGCCTGAGGAGATAATGGTAGGTAGGCTTGGGGTGAGAGCCCAGTACAAAGAGGGCTCTTCCAGGTGGGTGAGAGGGCAAAGAATACCCATTCACAGGCCCAAAGAACCCCACTGCCTGCAATTGGGGTCCCTCTGCCTTGCGCCGACCAGTTCATGTATCTGGGGCATGGTAATCCTCTCAGCCTGATCTGTAATTAGCTGTGTACACTGTGATGGTCACACTGCATAGCCTCGGTGCTCCCGTGATGCTGAGGCCTTTCCCCAGAGCCTCTTGGGATCCTTAGCTGCAGCATGGACTCAGGGAGCAGAACTCCAGAGCTGCTGACCATGGCTACCACACTTCAAGCTACAGGAGACTGACTGAAGCTACAGAGAGACTGCCTGAAGCTACAGAGAGACTGCCTGAAGCTACAGAGAGACTGCCTGAAGCTACAGAGAGACTGCCTGAAGCTACAGAGAGACTGACTGAAGCTACAGAGAGACTCTGCCTGAAGCTACAGGAGACCCTGACTGAAGCTACAGGAGACTCTGACTGAAGCTACAGGAGACTCTGACTGAAGCTACAGAGAGACTCTGCCTGAAGCTACAGGAGACCTTGACTGAAGCTACACAGAGACTGACTGAAGCTACAGGAGACTCTGACTGAAGCTACAGGAGACTCTGACTGAAGCTACAGGAGACCCTGACTGAAGCTACAGGAGACTCTGACTGAAGCTACAGGAGACTCTGACTGAAGCTACAGAGAGACTCTGCCTGAAGCTACAGGAGACTCTGACTGAAGCTACAGAGAGACTGACTGACTCAAGCTACAGCAGACAGCCAGATTGGCAGGCGCTTCCCCAGTGACTGAAACCTCAGGACTGATCCTGACTGACGGGACTTCAACAAACAGAAAGTCAAAGCAAGACTCTCCTAATGGATGTCACTAATGACCCACAGGCACATGGAGTCTGGGATGTTTTCCATGACTGTGGGGTCAGCTGGGACCCATCTAAGCCGCAGAACTCTGCCACCTCCAGGGCTGGTTGCTGACTTGTTGATCCATGTTTTGAAACATCTGAGAAGAATTACTGTGGCTCTGGGCAGGGTGGTTCCTATCTCTCTAGTCACTAATGATCTGTTTAGTAAAAGCAGCAAAACTGGCTCCAGCCGCGAGGAAGACTGCAGGGGCATAAGACGGTCTCAGGGGTAGTCAGCTGGCAAAGGGGACAGACACTGGCCCCCACAGACAGCCCTGACACAGCTCAGAGGAAAGGTACCATGCCTGACCCCGGCAGAGCCCTCCTGTGGGGCCGACCTAGCCTCACATTCCTCATCTGTACTTGGAAAGCAGCTCCTCTGGCAGGGGCTGCAGGCTGTGTGAGGCCTGAGAAGCTGGTACGCAGGTCAGAAAACAAAACGCACATTTATCCATGGGGCGGGAGAGTGAGGAAGGGGAAACAGAGGGAGAGCATACTGTGTTTCCACAGACACCTATGCTTCCACAGTGACTTTGGAGCACATAGGTACATTGAAGCATGGAGACCACAGGTGCCTGAGGGCCAAGCCATTCTCCCTAACCAGCCTCCTGGCCAACCCCGAGCAGCACTGTGCAACCCTGAGGACCCTGTCTTTGGACCCCAGGAACACTATCACTCACAGTACCACCCATGTCTGCATCCCCACAAACCCTGCCTTTGGGCCCAGAGATCGCCATCAGGCAAAATGTAGTACCTGTATCATCAGAGGCCCTTGTGAGAGCACAGCCAAACACAGCACAGGGCTTGCACACTTGAGGGCCTCATCCTGGGGTGCCATCCTGGCTAGTTTCTATGTCAACTTGCCATAAGTTAGTCATCAGAGAGAAGGAAACCTCAATGGAGGAAATGCCTCCCTAAGATCGATCTGGAGGCAGCCCATAGGGCATTTTCTTAATGATTGATGGGGAAGGCCCAGCCACTATGGGTTGGGCCACCCCTGGGCTGGTGTCCTGGGTCGTCATATAAGAAAGGCATCTAAGCAAGCCGTAGGAAGAGCCATCACTCCTCCATGGCCTCTGCATCAGCTCCTGCCTCCGGGTTCCTGCCCTGCTTGAGTTCCTGCCCTGACTGCCTTTGATGATGAACTGGTATTTGGAAGTATAAGCAAAATAAGCCCTCTCCTCCCCCAACTTGCTTTTGCTCATGGTGTTTCATCACAGCAATAGAAACCCTGACGAAGATGATGCCTATAACCAGGACTATCCATCTCTGCCTTAAAAGACAGCCTAGAACAAGTTGATCATGACCTCCAGAAGGGATTCCTCCTACAAGCTTTTCAAGGTACAGTCAGAGCCAGGGAGCCCATGAACTCACAATCACAGGACCCTGGGGGCTCTGGGGACAGAGGCGGCCAGGTGGAGGTAAGAGACTAGGCACCTAGTATAGATGTTCCTTGGACGTGACAAGGAGGCACAGTAATATCAGGAGTTGAGAGCAGAGCACATTTGGGGTTGGGAGCAACACAGGACTCAAAAATGTTAAAACTCAGAGTTCATAAGCTACAAACTCCAGGACACTTTGAAACGATCCATGCACAAAAATCACTGAAGAAAATGTATAAAATCACCCCTGGCCTATGTGAGTAAGGCAGACACGAAGCAGCAGTGAGTTTCATATGCAGACTTTTGCTCCATGAATTCATTACTATTCACAAATATTCCATGATCTGAAACTCAGAGTCTGAGACACCTGTTAACATGTGGCATCAAACAGGAGATAATGACCCTGAAATCTGGAATCATCTAAGCTCACACGTCTCTAAGGATGCTACGAAGAGAAACAGCAATGAAGCTGTGCTGTCCTGAGACAACATGCCAATCTTCCTGCTCTCCAGGCCCAGGTTCTTGAAACTGGCAGCCTCTGTGGTCTGCAGGAAGCATTCACTACAATAGTCTCTGGGGAGCTAGCTTCCCGGGTAAAGTTTAACTCCAGCAGCGGAAGCTCGCCATGCTTCAAGACTGCCCCTGTGTGGCCACATGCACACAGCACACCTTCAGAGGAGGCTGGGGGCCTCAGTCAAGGCTTCCACCTACTCGGCCTCCAGATTCCACCTCCCAGTGGGAAGATAGAAGCCGGCTGAGCACTGCAGCACATGAAGGTGCGGGCAAGGCGCCAACCCTCCCACCAAGCTGTGGGCAAGAAAACCACCGAGTTCCCACCTACTTGGAAGCCATCTCCCTCACTAAACCTCAGTACATGTGAGCTTCCTGCATGGACCAGCCAGCTGGGAGGCACACCCATCCACCAGAAATGAGGATAGCGCTTCCCTCCAAGTACATTCAAAACACTTAAGGAAGTCCTCAGGGGACATAAAATAACACAGATTGTCACGCTCCTAGTGTTCCGTTCATCCCCCACAAGAGTCCCCATGCCCTTTGTAAAGGACAGGTCCCCAGTAACTCAATCAAATCCCAACAGGCTGTTGCTAAGGAAGACATCCTTGAAGCCAGCGTCTATAAGGGAGGCTGGCCCGCACCAGCTGGGAACCGCTCCCATAAGGAGTGGGGACAGGAAGACCTAGGGCTCTCCTAAAGATAACGCCATCTGGACAGTGAACATTGCAGCTTGTGTACAAGCCTAGACTGTCTGCTAACACTAGGTAGTCAGCAGAACTCCTACCAAACAAGACCCACTGGATGGATGCCCATCGTGCAGTAGACCTATGACTTCATAAGTTATAGAAGCCACCAATCCAGAGAAGTTATGAAAACCTCTTGAGGTTACCTTACTTGTAGGCCAGTGACACCTCCTTAGTTCTCCCTCCATGGGGATAACTGCTACCTTCCTAAGATATAATGTCTCCTACCTAAAGTCCCCCCAGGGGGGCATTCCCTCCCTCAGTCATTCATCCCCGGGGCAGCTACCACCCAGTCACAATATCACATGCCTCCTCCTCAACACTGTGCATGCCGGCTTTCATCAGCCCCTTACTCCTGCCTCTGCTAGGACAGACCCCACTTCTTGCTTCTCTGCTTGTACCTCACTGGACACTCTGGGTCTTCTGTTTTCTTTTGGGATGAGTACTCTGTCTGCATGGATGCCTGCATGCCAGAAGAGGGCATCAGATCCCACTTTAGATGGTGTGAGCCACCATGTGGGTGCTGGGAATCAGGACCTCTGGAAGAGCAGTCAGTGCTCTAACCACTGAGCCATCTCTCCAGCCCCGGACACTCCAAGTCTAGAAAGCCTCTCTTGAAAGGGCTGAGCATAGAGCGCTGACAGATATCCAGCTTCACACTCATCTGCTACATCTTAGGTCCTCACCTTGCTAATCCTAATTCAGGGAAACTGAATACCATGGTGAATGCACATATATCATGTCCAAATGCACTAGCCCTATCCTGGACCTTGGTGCTAGGTTCTGCTGCCCCACTTGGCCCAGTGCATAGCACCTGAACTTGAAAACTCAGCTCTGTGTCCAAGAATTCAAGGATACAGACCTTTACAATGTACATCTGGGCAGTGGTTGGAAAGACCCAACTCAATGCCAAAGGATAGTGGTAGGCTGGTGGGGGACATGTCAGGGTAGGTGTGGGTCACACCAGAATATATCTGAGAGTGGCACTTCTTGACTTAGGCTGAGCAGAGACAAGGGCTCAGGACCTGAAGCTTCCTTTGCTTGACTTACCCAACCCGTTTGCTCTTGTTCAGATATGGTCTGAGGGCTCATCTGCTCATCTGCTAGGTGCTAAGTGATGTTGGGAAGTGGTGACACCTTTGAGAAGTAGAACCTGGGGGAGATTTTCAGGTCCTAAGGATACTGTCTTTGGGAAGTATTATGGGATCCACGTAAGTTTCTGAGAAAGATGTTGTAAAGGAGAAAACCTGGCCCTTGAATCTCCTCAGCATCCTGTCTTGTCAAGCGCTCTCACCATGTGTATCTGCCATGTGACCCTCACCAGAGACCAAAGGCAGCTGTCCAATCCTGGGCTTTAAGTTTTCAGAACGGTAAGCTACCTAATCTTTTCTTCATATAACACCTAGATTCTGGTATTTTGTTAAAGCAACACAAAATGGGCTGATAGCACCTTTGACTACACTATTCAGTTTTCTATACCACAAGGAAATATCCAAACAACCAGCAAGAGAAAAGATTTACTCTAACCCAGGGTTCTAGAGAGTGCCAGTCCAAGGTCAAGTGGCCCCTAATGCTTTGGACCTGTGGTGAGGCAGTCTATCACCACAGAACAGAACTGCTCACTACCATCAGCATGCAAGAAGAGAGTTGGGAAGAGAGAGCAAGCTTCCCATGATCTAAGTCCCCCCAAGGCCTGTCCTTCTAGAGGCCCCACTATCTCTTAATAGTGCCACCCTGAGAGGTAAGCCTTTGGGAGACATTCAAGACCCAAGCTTTGGCACTGCCCTATTCTGAAACCCAATTATCTGTCAAGGACAGGTAGAAGTTGGCAGCCTGGAAGGGTTGCACAAGCCCATGACTGCCTGCGAGCTAGAGCCAGCAGCTGCTGACTGATGCGCATGCTGAACACACACCACAGCATGCTGAGTGAGGCTCTAATTTTGGAAGTCCCTACACGCACTGCCCTGCTGGCCACTCACCTGCATGCCGAATGGAGCAACTCCCCTCTGCAGAGGAAGTCCGGGCTCTGCTCCTGAGCACTAGGGCATCTTCCAGGAGCTCAATCTTCTTGCTGAACTGCACTTCTAAAATGGGAATGACCTCTGGCATCTTGGCAGATATCAGCCGATAAGCCACGTCTGGCTTCCCAATGAACCGCTGGCGTATGCTGACCTCATAAGGAGAGTGAACCTTGATATCATCCACATCTTCCCTCTCAAACCTGTGCAGGAGCAATGAACTGGAATCATGGATTTCCAAACCAGAAACCAGGACAGTGAGCTTTCCTGGCTTGGAATAAGACTCTGTTCTCTGAGAAACAACAGCAGGGACTCTGATCACTACCCCTTCCTTTCCAAAGGGCTCACAAGAGGCTACAGAGACACCTTCCTTGGTCTTGGCTTCTGACGGTGTCTTCCAAAGTTTAGAGCTAAAAGGCCACCAGGAAGGAGACTCCAGTTCTGTCAGCAACCTAAAAGAGCAAAGAAAACATGGAAATTAGAGACAGTCAGTTTTGAGGTGTAAGGCCTTTTTTTTTTTCTTCAGAAGACTGCTTTGATCTTTGTAGAGCATGTTACCATTTTATAGTCCATCTTCCCCAACAAGCACTCATGAAGCAGAAAGAGCAAGGGGTGGGGACCTGAGGCTTGGGGTGGTAAGCACACCTGCCTAGAGGGGATCCAGCTAACCAAAGATACAGAAACATGTGCATATGACTCATGCTGCTCTTTCCACACTACGCCTTGACCTGGAGAGTTCTGACTCAGAAGCCATCCATGAATTCATGAACCCACCAAGCTCTCTAGAGCTGTCTGCTAAAGCTTTCTGAAGCGTGGAAAAGCCCTGTCGACACTGTCCAAGACAAATGGAGGCACATTTAGCTACCAACACTTTATTTATAGCCATGGCAACTGAGAACCTCAATTCTTAATTCAATTAATTAACTGTTTGTAGAGCTGGGGAATCAAATTCAGGGCTCTATGTCTAAGCCGCTTCCCAGCCTGATATAATTCAATTTCAGTATAGCTAGTGTCTACTAGACTGCAGAGCACTACTGCAATACCAAGAAATATATCCAATGTTTCAAATGGAGGCAGGGAGGAAAAAGCAACTGTCGGGGGCTGGAGAGATGGCTCAGCAGTTAAGAGCACTGGCTGCTCTTCCAGAGGTCCTTGGTTCAATTCCCAGCAACCACACGGTGGCTCACAACCATCTATAATAGGATCTGATGCCATCTTCTGGGGTGCAGGTATATATGCAGAGCACTCACGCATAAAATATAAATAAATAAAAAAAGTTTAAAGAAGTAACTATCAAAAAGAACAAGCAGCAAACATAAGGCAGAATTAGATGTGTTAAACTGAACCAGGACCAAGTGAAAAGACATTATCAGCTTGAAAGAAACAAGAGGCAGCTAAAGTTTGTTCACAAAAACACTGTAAAACAAGAAAGAATGGATTCACAGAAAACAAAGAATTGAAATGTACATATAATACACAGGATGGTAGCAGTAAACGGATGCTACCAGAGGCACTGTATGATAGAGAGGAAGACTTAATGTTAAACATCTATGTACCAAATAACATCACTTCAAAATTCATTAAGCAAAAAAGTTGACAAAACAGACAACCACAGCTGTAGACTTCGACAGTTACATTTCTTTCAATGGCTGACAGGACAAAATGACACAAAATTAGTAAGAATTGGAGTTTTGAACAGTATTGTGGCAGCTCAGCCTGACTGATACAGAATAACTCAGCATCTGATGAATGCAGGATGCTATCAACTGGACGCAGAACACTCATGCCAGGGAATGCAGCTAGATGCAAAGACACTATGTCCAAAAGACAAATACAAATCTGAAAATATTTGCAGATTAATGCACACTGAAGTACATGTACCACACATGCAAAAAGGAAATCAGAAAACATTTAAAGGGGATGGAGCAATGGCTCGGTGGTTAGGAGCACTTGCTGCTCTTGCAGAGGACCTAGGTTCCTTTCCCAGAACACACGTGGTGGTTTGTAAGTATCTGTAACTCCAGTTCCAGGGGACCCGACACCTTCTTCTGACCTCCAAGAGCACAAGTATGCATTGATATATACACAGACATAGATTCAGGCAAAACACTACATATAAAACAAATGTTCAAAAAAAAAAAAGAAGAAAATACTTAAAGTGAATAACAATGGAAATACAACACACATGAGAAGCAAACATGATCCCATCCAAGAAAAGTGAGTTTCCAATGTGTATATGTGTATATTAGAAAGGTTTACAATTGGATGGTAGTAGCACACACCTTCAATTCAAACACTTGGGAGGCAGAAGCAGGCAGATCTCTGAGCACCAGGCCAGCCTGATCTACAGAGTGAGTTCCAAGACAGCCATGGCTACACTGAGAAACACTGTCTCAAAAAACCCAAAAATAAATAAATAAGTAAGTAAATAAAGAAATAAAAGGTCTAAAATTAGTTATCTAAGTTTCTATTTTAAATTGGTTTAAAATGAAGAGTAAAACATACACAAAGAAAGCAGAAAAGTCAAAATGTAGAGATCAATGAAATTAGAAGCAGTTAAAAAAAAAAAAAAACAGGAAAAGAAAGAAACTGGTCTGGGGAGATAGCTTGCCACCAAGCCTAAAAATTTGGGTTTGATCCTTTGAACTTGCATGACAGAAGGAGAAAACTGACTCCAACTTTCCAAACAAATGCTATGGCACATACATGCCTGTATACTCACAGAGAAGATAAATAAAAATGAATGATCTGTGACTTTAATCCCAGCATTCTGAAGACAGAGGCAACTAGATTTCTGTGAGTTAGAAGCCAGCCTGGTCTACAGAGTGAGTTCCAGGTGAGCCAGGGCTACATAGTGAGACTATGTCTTGAGAGAGAGAGAGAGAGAGAGAGAGAGAGAGAGAGAGAGAGAGAGAGAGAGAATCAAAAGTGAGTTCCTTGATGTGACTTAAATACAAAATACAAATTACTAACAAAAAATGATCAAGGAAACTATAGAGAAAACATAAATTTCTGACACAGGACTGGGGATGGTGGAAAGTCTTATGGACATTATTCTCGGTGCCAATAAATCTAACAACTTATCTGAAATGTACAACACTGGACGGCCCAACCTCTGAAACCCAGGCAAGGGAAAAAACCTGAACAGCTTGAGAAAGAAACTAACCCTGTAACGATGACACCAGAGAGAAGAGCGTGGCCTGAGCGGCTTCACTGGTGAATTCCGCCAACCATGAGGGTCAGCCACTGTCGCCCACAGCCCTCCATCGCACAGGCCACCGGACTCACTGCCCCAATGCCACAAGACACATGAATCCCAACACAGTAAGATGCCTCTAAGGCAGCAAGTACACCTGAGGACATGAAAACTACTGGCCCACAAGGAAGAGGTCTTCATCCCAGGAAGACGAGGATGGCATAACGACTGGAAATGAACCAGTGGAACTCAGTTCACTGACAGTGAACCAGGAAAGCTGTAAGCTCATCAGAACAGCATCCAGCCTGAAGAATTCCATCACAGGAAGAAAACTTTCTCAGTCTGATACAGGTACCTACAAAAAACTTTAACAATATGACTTTTTTTCTTTTTTTTAGAATGAAAATCAAAAGCAAGAAGATTCCTGAATGCACCAAACTTTGCAGGCATTTCTCAAGTATGACTTTCAGAAATACATTTGGTCCTAATCCTGTTTCCTAGGAGTCTGGAAGCAAAGTGTATTCCATGTGCTGATAAACCCTCTGCTGGCTAGCAGCCCCTGGATAGCTCCCAGGTGGGGCTGGTCACTGAAAGATCAGGGCTGGGTCAGAGGGCGGGGACCCTCAACCTCATCTCAGCACCCACAAAAGGAAGAAGGGCTGAAGGTTGAGTGGATCACTGATGGCCAGTGGTTTCATTAATCACCCCATGTAATGAAGGTCTATAAAACCCCTAGAGACGAGTTCAGAGCTTCCCAGGAGCTGGATGTGTGGAGGTCCTGGGGGGCGGTGCCCAGGGAGGATATGGAAGCCCCACCCCTTCCACACACCTGACCTCTTATATCTCTTCACCTGTATCCTTGGTAATTGTTCTCATGGTAAACCAGTCAACACAAGTTCTGTGGGCTGCAAATCACGGGTCAAAGGAGCTAATGTACAGCCGTTTGGGGTGGCCCTCCCTCTGCGAGCCCTTCAGTTAGGCTGCTGGCTACTATGTTCTCCAACAGGAGTTCTAGAGGCTTCCTTTACTCTCTACCACCATAAAGGCTCTCTCAACACAGGCCAGGGACCCAGCACGAGGGCTCTGCTCACCCCTGAGCATGTCCACTCTACTTACGTATTATAGAACTGGAGGAATAACAAGGTGGGCTTGGGGACCTACTGAGTCAGGCAGGAGCTACAAACCTGTACAAGGCCCACTTCTTCAGATTTCCACAAGTGAAACCATGCAGCATTTGTCTTTTTGTGCCTTAGTTAATTGGCTATCACAACCTCCAGGTTCGTCTATATTGCTACAAATAGCTGGAGTTTATTCTTCATGACTGAATAACATGTCAGTGCATAGCTACACCATGTTTTCCTTACCCATGTGTGTGTGCGGGACACTGGCTGCCCTGACTAGATCATTCTCTACTCAGAGCCCATTATGCTGACCACCGTCACTGTGTCTTTGTGATTGTGCTCACCACAGCTCTCCATACAAACAGTTCGTTAGGTCTTGCTCTGGTCCCATCTATCCTTTCTATGTCTCATTTCCCCATCCTGGAAGGGGAATGCAAACTCCCTCAGGCTCCTACTGCTATTCTCCCGACAAGGGGATGGACCCTTTCTTGTCAGTTAAAACGCTCTCACGGGTTGCTCCTAGTTAGGTGTGGTCACAACACTTCCTCGCTGTCAACACTCTTGTCCCTCCACCCTCCTCCCACTGGATCTCCTCCCTCTTCCAGAAAGTCCAACTACTACTTTCATACCCCTCCCCCACCTGTCTTCTGTATACGAGAGAACATGCAGTATATTTCTTTCTGAGTCTGCTATTTACCACAGCACGTTGATCTCTAATCCCTCCATTTCTCTGTAAATGATACACAATGTCATCCTTCTTTAGTGCCAATAATATTCCACTGTGCGTGCGAGAGTGCGTGCGTGCGCGTGTGTGTGTGTGTGTGTGTGTGTGTGTGTGTGTGTGTGTGTGTGTGACATTTTCTTTATTTGTCCATCTATTGACAGACACTTGGGCTACCTCCTACTTTGGTTACTATAAACGATACCACAGTCAATAAGTGGTAAACAAAAAACAAAGACTACCAGATCATGTTTTTCCTTTATACACAAGTCCCTCCCTGTAAGTTCTGAGGCTGGAGGCCACTCTCGGTGAGGAGCATTCCAGGCACCATGGTGGACAAGGAACCAAACACGCTCAGACCACAGAGCACTGCTCTCAGACGTGGAAGGTGCCTCTGTCTAGCCTACCATGGAACAGGCTCTGTGATACTGAAAAACAGGCACACACTGAAAACACAAGAAGCCAACGGTTGGGGCCTCATACCAGGACATCTGCTCTAGCAGTCAAGGTCCAGAAGCTCTGGTTCTGCTGTGGTGCCCATGAGAGCTGGACCCGGGGCGTTGGCAGGAAGTGTGAGACGACAGTGCAGGAAATAGCAGGTGGGCATGTGGGAGGGGTGTGGCCTCTCCAACCTGAGCTGGGGATGGAGAGGGCTCTTTGGGGTGAGCTCTGTCAGGAATACTGAACAGACATCAGGGAAGAGTCAAGCACTGAGCCAGCGTCTACTGTGACCGGCCCTGTAACAGAAGGATTTCACTTCTCTCCGACCCATCTGCATGGAGAAGACAGGAGCTCAGATGTATCCAGTGTGTCCCAACAGGAACCAAAGCAAACAACAGGAACTCTAACTTGGCGGACTATGAAATACGCTGCACTATCCCGAGTTCCCAGAAAGTACAAATCCATGTGCACAGAGGCTATGACATGTCAACCAGAAGAGAAGACGTAATGAAAACCCATTCCTGGGACACATGGGAGTTTACTCTCCATGTCCATTTCATCACATTTCATCCTGAGGACCAACTAAGCCGAGGGCAGAGAGAACAGAACTCCAACTCTGAACAGTCTACAGACTCTGCTGCCTCTGCTCCTGTAACAAGCCTGACACACGACAACCTCCATGGCATGGTCTTACTCAAAGAATCTCTTGGGCTTGGTAAGAGGAGAGGATGTGTCTTCAGCCCAGTCATAAGCTCTCTCTGAGCACATCTCTAACCAGGCATGGACTATGGCAAAGGCCATCACACCTATGAAGCTCTGAGAGAGCCTGGACATTCCACCACACAGCGGCTCAGGAGCACTGCATGCTCTTTACATACACAGCCTTTGATCCACAGGGAACACATGTTCCCAGGCCCCGAGGAATAACAGAAACAAAGGATAGTATTAAACCCTATAGAAGCTGTGTTTCTAATATACATACTTACAACATAGTTATTTGCAGACCACACATACTATTACTACATATCATTTAAGTAAAATACTTCTGAACACAGCACTAAGACACCTAAAAATCTGATAACCAAAGTTGCTGCTGGTGACTAACATGGCCGTGAACAGTGCAGACAGGCCAGACAAAGGGCTGATCCATACCCTAGGAGGCATGGGCTATGTCTGAGCTCTCACCAGGCTACTCAGAGTGGCACTGATACTACAGGTGACCAAAGAGGTCCATTTTTTTGCCTACTCTTTTCAGGGGGACTCTGGAATAACCGAAACAAGAAAGCAGAACTACAGACAATAGGGTTATAACTGCAACTATCAGAAAGAGTACATTTCCAACCTAATTTTTGAAAAAGAAGTGTGGAAATTTAAAACAAGTTTGAACTTGGTGTGCTGAAAAAGAGCACTCTCAAAGATGGGCCTTAGGAAGACTGGCCAGGGAATGCTCTTCAAGGACTACAAGCTGAACACCACTTCCCTAAGGACAGGGGAAGACAGCTGAAAGAGTGTGGAGACTTTTCTATACACCAGTGGCAGGAGACGCTGAAAATCCAGGAATAAAGGTGGTACCAGCATCCTCTAACAGCTGGGATGGAATGAGGTCAGTGACAGAGCAGGCTGGCTTGGAGGAAGACACAGTGACCCTACACCCAACCTGGGCACTTGGGAGAAGACACTGTTTATCAGTGTCTAACGGAGCAGGGGCAGAATGGAGAGGAGAGCTGGATCCTCCATGCCAAGGCAAACAAGGCCTACAGGGCTCACACTGCAGGAGGGAGGCAGGGACGCAAGAAGAGGTTTTATTGAAAGTCTAGTCCTGGAAGTCCCCCTACACAGGGACCCTGGGACAAATGCTTCTAATTAAAGACAGAAAATAAAGAAATCCAGACAGAGAAAACTAGAAGAGATAGGTCAATATAAAAGGAAAAAAGGCAGCTGGGTGGTGATGCACATCTTTAGTCTTTAATCCCAGCACTCGGGAGGCAGAGGCAGGCGGATCTCTGTGAGTTCAAGGTCAGCCTGGTCTGTAGAGTGAGATCCAGGACAGCCAGGCTTGTTACACAGAGAAACCCTGTCTTCAAAAACCAAAACCAAAGGGTAACTGAAATGCTAAGCTAAAACAGACAGGAAGCAGTGCTGGAGTATGAGTCAAACATGTGCAGAGCAAAACCAATGCTTAGACGTTAAAATCTATCAGAAATAGGGCTGGAGAGATGGCTCAGAGGTTAAGAGCACTGACTGGTTCTTCCAGAGGTCCTGAGTTCAATTCCCAGCAACCACATGGTGACTCACAACCATCTGTAACGAGATCTGGTGCCCCCTTCTGTCCTGCAGTCATACATGCAGACAGAACACTGTATACATAATAAATAAATCTTAAAAAAAAAATCTAACAGAAATAAAAGAAAAACCCAAGAACTAGAAACCAGAATGGAAACAACTGGATAGCACAAGATGAAGAGAAAACAATACACCCAATGAAGGACAACTAAAAACAGGCGCTCCCAACGGCTCACATTTTTAAAGTGATGTGAAAAAGTTACCAAAGAAATAATACAAACAAAATAAAAAAAGCCCATTCTGAAGGACAAACTCAGTGACAGCATTTCAAAGTACATACAAAAAACAAACAAAAACCCCTATTGGTCCCCATGAAAGCAGATCACCACCAGGAGGGACATATCCTGCTCATGACCTGAGAACTGGGGGCATGACTAACCAGCACACAGGAACCACACACATTGACAGAGGAAGACACCTCCCTTGTGCAGCCCACCCCAACATGAACACTCAACTCCCTGCTCTCTGTAAACCAACAGGATCCAGGTGGCGACAGGCAGAGGCTCTCTGGGCCGAGTCCCCCAGAGTCCACACAGCAGGTGCACAGCCTTTGCTCTGAGTACTGGAACTGTCTTAACCACGAGATCGCTGAGAGGACTCCCTGCCTCCTCCGTAGAAGCGGAGCAGACTTGGGGGGTGCCCACCTGTCAGCCACATCTAGATCTGACTCCATCTTCTCCAGGCCCCTCATGACACTGTCTAGCTGCTCGCCCTGGTGATGAAGGACCTTTGATGTGTCTTCCATGCGTCTCTGGGAACTGGCCATCAGTCCCACCAGCTCCTGGCCCCTGGTCACGGGGGAGGCTGTGTTAGCAGCGGTGCCTGGCTGGGACAGGAGCTGCTCCCTCCAGAAGTGCTCGATGACGTTGAAGACCACATTGCGACTGGGCCGCAGTGAGCTGAACCAGTGCTTGGCCTGGCCCTTCTCCAGGACTGTGATGGCACTGAAGATAAAGAGAGAAGCCTCCTTCCTGATCTCAGTGATGCTGCAGAGAGGCAGGCCCACCAGGACCTCTTCAGTTCCGTCCGCACTGAACTTCAGTGAATGAGGCGTCAAGGTCAGTTTCCCAGGAACCCATTGCTTCTCAAGGTTCAGGTAATAGGAGCAGGGCCAGGAGTGGACACGCACATCACTGCTCATCTGTCCCTAGGTAGCTGGACCCCACGGAGGCTGTCGTGTCTGTCTCTGAGGGAAAAGAAACAAAATGGGCGGGTGAGGCTGAAATACATCAACTTCCTTTAGATTACAGAGAGCAGGAGGTTGGCCAGGAGAGAAGGACAGTCTCAAGGGAGGGCTGGGCCTCTGCCCAGCAAGTAAAGGGTAGAGAGGGCTGAGATCAGAACCAAGAACTGTGCTTGTCCCACACTCCTTACAGGAAACCCTCCACTCCTGGGCCCACCAGGCAAGCCATGAGGGGATCAAGCATTATAGACAAGGCCCCAGATCCTTCCCATGCATACAACCTTGTGGCTGTCATGTCCCTATCACTGTCTATCTGTACAAGGTCCTCCTGGGGATCCTCTTTCAATGCTCTGTGTATGTATCCCACTGCTTACAGAAAAGTCTTATAGACACACGTCCCCCTCCTGGACAGCCATCTCACAGTTACCTATGGAGTCACATGTATATGGATGCATTTATATACAGACAGTGTTGTGTGGCCAGACGCAGTGACGCACGCTAGCTTCATTTTCTTCTACTTCTACCCACCCCCCAGTAATGAGGCTCACACCCAGCTGCATCCAGGAAGTGGTCTACCGCTGAGCTACAGCCCCAGCCCTTGTTTTGAAATAGGGTCTCACGTGTAGCTCAGACAAGCTTTGAACTTGCTATGTAGCCCAGGGTGGCCTCAAGTTCCCTGTGCCCTACTTGGCCAGTACTATAAGTACTGGCATGTGCTATCACACCTGGTACTGTTTGCATTTCATATTTATAACTATATTCATCAGGGCAGTCATAAGTCATGGATGATAGGTTTGAATTAACACTTATAGAATATGTTGCCCAATCCTCTTTGTTCAGATACCAAATTAGTCAAGACAAGAGGCTCCCACACTGCAGTCTACGGTACTGACTGGGTAAGCGGACTTTCCCACCTCTCCCTGCCCATGTTTCTCTGTGTCTGTGTCTCTATCTCTCTGTCTCTCTCAATTACCGTCTTTGTGTGATGTGACTTTACTTCTTAGGAACTATCTTAGCATGATCCCTCAAATCCTGAACCCAGCTGTAGGCCACAGGGATACTGCCACCAGTCACCAGGTCTGTAAGGCCCTGGCATGCAAGTGACAGGATGGGCAGTAAGCGTACAAAAGGTAGCACCAGCAAGGCCCAGCTCCTGTGATGTGGTGTCCATGGGGATCTCATTCATTCTCTCCCTGAGCCACCCTCTGCACAGCCAGTCCTGGAGATAATCACTGTCCTAAAGCACTCAGGTGGGACCAGCCCCACACAGGCAGAGCCTGTGTCAAAATGAGGCCCGTGAGCAGACTGCAGCCCTGTGATGGAGTCCCCCAAGGGTGAGGTCTCCCTGAGTCGTCTGGGCTGCTACTTCGTCTTCAGTCACAAATTTTACACAGCGTCAGGTGGAAGTCCTGAGGTGTGAGGACATTGACGTTGAAGGCTAAATGCTCCTAAAGTTTGTCAGGAGTCTGTGAATTCGGCGTTGTCAGTGGAGGGTCCAGGAAACCTAAGAGGCTCTGGCCCGCCAACCCCCTCTACTCCTGCAGCCCAGGGCCACCAGCTCCCCTGAGCAGACCTGGGTCTACACAAACCACCAGGTCAGGAACTAAGGTGAGAGCTAAATCCCTCAGGCTGTCCACACAGGAGGGGAGGCAGAGGTGGGTCTACCAGAGCACAGAGGAAGACTGCACTTGGGGAAAGTGGCTGAGGAGAAAGCGCCAGTGTGCAGGGAATGACGAGAAGAGGGCACAGCAGAGCAGGAAGGAGCCCAGCGACAGGAACAGGCCGTCCTGTGGACTACTCCAGCCCCTCTCGGGGAACTGGGAAGAACCAGAGCCAGCAGCAGACCTACAGGCCTAACTGTAGGAGCCCATGCACTCAAGGGTTTCAAATTAAGTATGGCGCTCTCGGTGACTGCTCTGCTCCAACGAATGACCGACCTCACATTGACCCTCCCAGCCCTCAGAACCCAAGCTGCCCCAAAAGTCACTGACACAGGTCAATCTGCTCTAGGGAGCCAGTAGCTACCAAAAGCACCAAGCCTGTGTGTGTCTCCCAGGCAGAGCACAGACTTCTTGGTATACTGTGGCTCCAACGCCACAACCATGGCCTTGCCTGCATTCACCTCTCCCATATATTATATGTTTGAGATTCCCAGCTACCGACACCAAAGTGCCACCATCACCTGTGGTTACTAGTGATCACCCATGCTGCCCAGTGGGACCTGGGGAAGATACCATCAATGTCATGAACGCCAAGACCATACCTACCTGGGTTATCACCTCTACTTGCCCCACAGGACCTAACGACAGCACCCTCCACACTCTGTAACATCAGAACTTCAACTGCCACCATCATAAGCCCCAGAGTCACCCACGTATGCAGGGCATAAGGAAACACACATTTGGAATCTACGTCCACTGCAAATGTGCGCACCTACCCTCACATACTGCTGCAGACTGGACTATGCAGGTCTACACAGCAGTGGTGGTACTGACGACACCTAGAGAAACCAGAGGCCACCCGTCCATCTTCACCCATAAGCAAAGCCCAAACACCAGCACCCTCGATCCTATCTAAATAAAAGTCTTTTCCCTATGAAAGCTACTCCACAAAACTGGAAATGGCAACTATTATGCCAGATGTGAAGACATCAACGAAGACATTTTAAAACTGAGGATACATGACACCTCTAAAGGACACAGTAATTCTCTAGAAATAGAGCTCAATTCAAAGGAAATCCATAGGTTGCCTGAAAAACAATTCCACATAAAATCCTAAGGAAAATCACTGAAATGCAAGGAAATACAGACAGACAGCAAAATGAGGAAACAATTCATTATACAAATAAGAACTGTGACAAAGAACTAGAATACACACACACATACACACACAATCAACAAGTGAAATAAAATAAATAGCTTCTATAATATAGTAGGATAAGCAGAATTTCTGAACTGAGCACAGTCTTTTGAAATAACCCATCAGACAATTTTTTTACAAAATAAAACAGAAGGGTCTAGAGAGACGGCTCAGCGGCTAAGAACACTTACAAGGCCAGGTGGCAGTGGCAAAGGCAGGCAAGGCCCTGAGTTTGAGGTCAGCTGGACGACACAGTGAGTTCCAGGACAGCTAGACCTTCAGAGGGAAACCCTGTCTTCAAAAACAACAAATAAACAAAAACCCACTTACTGTTCTTCCAGAGGACCAGAGTCCAATTCCTAGCATCCATGTTGGAGGACCCGAGTTCCTAGCTCACAACCATCTATAACTCCAACTTCAGGAGGAGATCCAAACAACTCTGGCCTCAGCAGGTACTTTGTACTCAGATGTGTACACACACAGACAGAGACAGGAAGAGAGAGAGAGAGAGAGAGAGAGAGAGAGAGAGAGAGAGAGAGAGAGAGAGAGAGAGAAGAACGAAAAATAATGGTAAAAAAAGAAAAAACTGGAAGAAATTCCTTGAGACATATGGGAAATCATTAGAAACAAATAGTTGCACTATGGGAATTCCAAAGAATAAAGGGATTATTAAATTAGCAGCTGAAAACTCCTGAAGACTTCTGTCTTAGTCACTGTCCTATTGCTGTGAAGAGACACCATGACCAAGGCAACTCTTATCAAAGAAAGCATCTAATTGGGGGCTTGCTTATAGTTTCTGAGGTTTAGTCCATTATCACGGCGGAAGCACGGCAGCATGCCTGGTGCTGGAGAAGGAGCTGAGAGCTTTACTGCCTGACCCACAGACAGCACACAGGGAGACACTGGGCTTGGTACAGGCTTTTGAAACCTCAAAGCCAGTGACACACGCCCTCCAATAAAGCCGCATCTACTCCAACAAGGCCACACCTCCTAATCTTTCTAATCTTTCAACAGTTCACTCCCCGGTGACCACATTGAAATATAAGAGCCGGCTGGAGAGATGGCTCTGAGGTTAAGAGCACTGACTGCTCTTCCAGAGGTCCTGAGTTCAATTCCCAGAAACTACATGTTGGCTCACAACCATCTGCAATGAGATCTTCTCAAACTAAAACTAATCAGAAGAGACAGAGAAGGGTACTTCATTCATTCAATTAATCAAGAAAATGTTGTGAGTCCCCGCCGCCGTCCGCGCCCGGCGCCTGCAGCCTGAGACCATGCGCAGGCCCAGCCAGCGTCGATCCGCGCCCCCGCCCTGCCCCGGCCCCGGGAGCAGTTGCTCCAGCAAGCGGTGGGGCAGGAGCTCCTGGAGTGACAGTCCCTATAGAAGTGATGACAGAATACAAGCTTGTGGTGGTGGGTGCTGGAGGCGTGGGAAAGAGTGCCCTGACCATCCAGCTGATCCAGAACCATTTTGTGGATGAGTATGACCCCACCATAGAGGACTCTTATCGGAAACAGGTGGTCACTGATGGGGAGACATGTCTGCTGGACATCTTAGACACAGCAGGTCAAGAGGAGTATAGTGCCATGCGGGACCAGTACATGCGCACAGGGGAGGGTTTCCTCTGTGTGTTTGCCATCAACAACACCAAGTCCTTTGAAGACATCCATCAGTACAGGGAGCAGATCAAGCGGGTGAAGGACTCGGATGATGTGCCAATGGTGCTGGTGGGGAATGTGATCTGGCCACTTGTACTGTTGAGTCTTGGCAGGCCCAGGACCTTGCCCGCAGCTATGGCATCCCCTACATTAAAACATCAGCCAAGACCCGGCAGGGTGTGGAGGATGCCTTCTACACACTCGTCTGTGAGATTCGGCAGCACAAACTGCGGAGGCTGAACCCGCCCCATGAGAGCAGCCCCCGCTGCATGAGCTGCAAGTGTGTGCTGTCCTAACACCAGGGAGGCAGGGACCAGCAGACATCTGGGGCAGTGGCCCCAGCTAACCAAATGAACTTCATATCCACTCTGATGTCCCTGCTCCCACCCACCCCCATTCTGCCAATCCCCCTGCCTACGGTCAGTGGTGTCCTTTGTGCCCGTCCCGGCACAGGCTCAGGACGTGGAGGTGCCGGATGCAGGGAG